GGGCCCAAGCACTTGGGCCATCCTCCACTGCACTCCCTGGCCATAGCAGAGAGCTGGCCTGGAAGAGGGGCAACCGGGACAGAATCCGGCGCCCCGACCGGGACTAGAACCCGGTGCGCCAGCGCCGCAGGTGGAGGATTAGCCTAGTGAGCCGCGGTGCTGGCCTTCTCCTAGCACTTTCATTAGGCCTAAATTTAGATCTTTGGTCCAGCTTGAACTGATGTATATATGGTGAGAGGTAGGGTTCTAATTTAATTTTTCTATACTTATGTATATCTAGTTTTTCCAGCATCATTTATTGAAAAGACTATCTTTTCCCTATTATATGTTCTTGGTGCTTTTACCAAAAAAATCAGTTGGCTGTACATGCAAAGATTAATTTCTGAGTTTTCTATTCTGCTCCATTAATCTCTGGGTTAGCTTTTGTTTTTAAGATTTATTTATTGATTTGAAAAGCAGAATTACAGAGAGGGAGACACAGAGAGAAAGAGAAGGAGAGACAGAGAGAGAGAGAGAGAGAGTTCTTCCATCTGCTGTTCACTCCCCAAATGGTTGCAATGGCCAAAGCTGGGCCAGGTCGAAGCCAGGAACCAGGAATGCATTCTTGTCTCCCACATGGGTGCAGAGATCCAAGTACTTGGCCCATCTTCTGCAGCTTCCCCAGTCCCATTAGCAGGGAGCTAGATCAGGAGTGGGGCAGTGGCACTCAAACTGACCCTCCAATATAGGAGGTGGCAGCTTAACTGGCCCCTGGGCATCAATCTTTATGCCAGTACCATGCTGCTTTAATTACTATAGCTCTGCAGTTTGCTTTGAATTCAGGTATTATGATGCCTCTGACTTGCTTGCTTTTCGCTTAGGATTGCTTCTGTGGTTCCACATGCATTTTAGGATTGTTTTCCCAGTTCTGTAAATAATATCATTGGTATATTTATGGGGATTGCATTGAATCTGTAAATCACTTTAGGCAGCATAAATATTTTTTGTTAGACTTTGGGACCAGCGCTTTGGTGTAGCAGGTAAAGCTGCCACCTGTAGTCCTGACATCCCATATGGGCACTGGTTCGAGTCCCACCTACTCCACTTCCGATCCAGCTCTCTGCTATGGCCTGGGAAAGCAGTAGAAGATGGTCCAAGTCCTTGGGCCCCTGTACCCGCGTGGGTGACCTGGAAGAAGCGCCTGGCTCCTGGCTTTGGATCAACGCAGCTCCGTCCATTGTGGCCATCTGGGGAGTGAACCAGTGGATGAAAGACCTCTCTCTCTCTCTCTCTCCTCTGCCTCTGCCTCTCTGTAACTCTGCCTTTCAAATAAATAAATAAATAAATAAATCTTTTTTTTTAATGTTAATCCTTTCAATCCATGAACACAGAAAATGTTTCCATTTCTTGTGTCCTTGATTCTTTCTTTCATCGGTGTTTTACAATTTTCATTGTAGAGCTCTTTCACTTTGGTTTAATGTGTTCCTAAATATTCTGGAGTTTTGTAGCTATTGTGAATGAAATTGCTTCTTGGATATTCTTTCAATAAATATCATTATTGGTGTATAAAAATGCTACTGTAGGGTACGCATTGTGGCACAGGAGGTTAAGCTGTCACTTGGAACACCTATCTCCTACATCAAAGAGCTTGGGATCAAGTCCTGACTCCACTTCCAATCCACCTTCCTGTGAATGCACCATGGAGGCAGCAGATGATGGCCCAAGTGTTGTTCCTGCCACCCATGTGGGACACCTGGATGGAGTTCCTGGCTCCTGGCTTCAGCCTGGCCCAGCTGGAGCTGGTGTGGAATTTGGAGAGTGAACCAGCAGAGGAAAGATCTCTCTCTCTCCCTCGCTGTCTGCCCCTTTGCCTTTTAAATAAATAAGTTTTTTAAAATGCTAGTGCTGTTTGTATGTTGATTTTGTATCCTGCAACTTTAGTGGTCTCTCAGTTCTCACAGCTTTTGGATAGAGTGTTTAGTTATTTTTTCATACGTAAAATCATGTCACCTGCAAACATAGATATTCTGACTGTCTTTCCAATTCGGATGCCTTTAATTCCCCTAATTGCCCTTTGCATTATCTTTTAATTCCATTTTTTCCATGAATTATCTGAAATCCCCTCATACTTCTTTCAGTAGTGTTTCCAAGGTGTTTTAACATAAGATTATCTTTATTTTGCCTCATTTGCATGATCCTTAAGTAAAAACTATATAAAACTCTGCATTCAAAATATTTTCTTCGACAATTTTAAAGTATCATTACCTTTTTTCCTTGTAGTTGGCGCTGATATTGACAAATCAGATATATTTTCCAATTATTCCTTGTAGAGGACCCACAAAGTGTCAAACACCATTTTTGACACTAGAGATTCAATTTCTTTTTCAAAAAATTGCAAGTTTCTGTTTTGTACATGATCTGTGTTCTGTCTTGGAATTTTTCTTGTTTTTTTTTTTTCATAGTTAGATTTCACTATCATGTGTGGTATCTTCATACTTTTCTTATTTAACTTTATGCACATTATCAATGTAAGGTCCTTAACTTATTTTAAAAAAATTTATTTATTTATTTGAAAGTCAGTTACACAGAGAAAGAAAGAGAGGTATACAGAGAGAGGTCTTCAATCTGCTGTTTCACTCCCCAGTTGGCCACAATGGACGGAGCTGTGCCGATCCTAAGTCAGGAGCCAGGAGCTTCTTCTGGTTCTCCCATGTGGGTGCAGGAGCCCAAAGACTTGGGCCATCTTCTACTGCTTTCCTAGGCCATAGCAGAGAGCTGGATCAAAAGTAGAGCAGCTGGGACTTGAACCAGCACCCATATGGGATGTCAGCACTACAGGCGGCGCTTTACCCACTACGCCACAGTGCCGACCCTGTTACTTTTCTTTATTTTTAAAATGATTCATTTACTGATTTTAGAGAGAGATTTTAAATGCTGGCTCACTCCTCAAATGCTTGCAACACCCAAGGGAGGGGGGTGGGAGGGAAGCCAGCAGCAGGGAACACAATCCAGGTTTCCCATGTGGGAGGCAGGAACCCAATTACTCGAGCCATCACCCTGCTGCCTCCCAGGGTCAGTATTGCCAGGAAGCTGTGCTATGTGTATCCTAAAGCAGAGAGTCTGTGGTTTTCCAATTGGGTGAGACCACACTCTGTCTACCATTTTCTTTCAACCAGGGGACCCTGGCCCTCAGAAAACCTATTTCCACCTCTTTGTACAGTAATCATCTGTCTCACAGTGTATTTGTGTGTGTGTGGTCAGAGGAATGTAAATAAAACCCTTTGAGGTGAGTCTGCTTATATCTGTTGATATCTACCCCTCTCCCAGCCCAGCTCCAAACTATCCCTTGCAATAGGGAAAAGTGGGCAAAGATTTACCCAAAGTAATGTGAGAAGTAGACAGGAAGCAGCACAATAAAACCCTAAAATGCACCCCCTCTGCCTGTAGCACCTCCCCACAAAACCCATGTGGCATCTAGGAATCTTCCATTGTGGCTACCGTTTTTTTTGGGATAGAAGACAGCGGTTTGTGTTTGAATGCTGTGTTATTTCTGTTTTTCTGCATAATAATACTACACATAACAATAAGAGCACACACTTAGTATCTCAGAGTTTCTGTGGGTGAGGGTCTGGGCATGGCCCACCTGGGTCTTCTGTAGCCTGCTGTATCAAGGTGTCAGGCAGGACTGGGTTCTCATGGGAAGAGGAAAAGAATGCTCTACCTCAACCATGTGGGCTGGAGAAAGGGTTCTTCAGGTCCTTGCAGTCTCTGGAACCGAGGGTTTTGGGTTCTTGCTCACCTTAGCTGGAGGCCATCCCCAGTTGCTTGTCATGTGGACCTCTACAACATCACCACACAACTCCATCAAAGCCAGGAAGAGAAGAGTCTCCTAGCAAGACAAGCATTGGACTCTGTGTCAGCTTTTGTTGTATTCCACTGGTTGGAAGCGCATCGCATGCCAACCACACTGAAGGGGAAGGGATCACGCAAGGACATGACTTCCCAGGAGGCTTGTGAAACGCAAGTCACAGTCCCCTCTGTGGGATCTGGAAACCACCTTTCTTCGAAATTTTTGAAAGTCACTGAAGGGTTTTAAGCAGTAAAGCGCCATCACATTCTGACTTTACGATGGTCACTACCCAAAAGGAATGGAGAACAGATTGGTGGGAGAGAACACTTGACTTAAGGAATCCATTTAGGAAGCTTATGTTTGTATTCCTAAAGAAATGGTGGGGCCCCCAACCAAGGGAACGCTAGTGGAAACAGAGGTGGACAAATTGGAGGGTTATTTAAGTCATATAATAAATAGGTGTTTAAAAAAAATAGCCAGTGAGGGAGAAGGCGAGAATATTCCAGTTCTGGGTTATGCAGCTGGTGTGGGCAGCAGTATCATTCCCCGAGAAGGGACGACAGTGTAGACGTGCTGAGTTTGAGGGGGTTGAATCAGAGGGCACACTCCCTAGCAAGAACAAACGTTTCTGATCGATTGAAGCTAATTGGTATGCCTCCAAAGAGGCTATTGCTTGAACATTTATTTTTTAATGGTTCAATATTTCCAACTCATCTCACACAGGTGAATTTTAAGTATTACAGGCAGCCTACGGATGCAAGAACATCGGACGGAGTCCGCAACCAACACCCTGTTCCTAGGAACATACAATCGTTCACGTTGTTTGAAGGCAAAGGATGAGCTTGAGGAGGGCAAAGGCACGGATAAAAGCCAAATACTCCAACATGCCTTACATCATAGAAACTCGGTTTGAACTCAGCAGTTCTAAGTGCCGCGCTATGAGAACACGAGTACACAAAGCCCAAGCACGAGCCCAGGTCTCGCTGTCCGCTCCCTCCCCGACTCAGTTATCACACACAAGACACGCCGCCAAAACTCTCGCGAGAGGGAAGGACCCTGCTGGCACCTCGGAGTCTCCCAACCGCGCCACGCGCGCTCCCACCTGCGGAGAAGCAGGCTGGCGGGGCGCGGGGGCTGCTGGGAACTGTAGTTCTGAGCGGGAAAAGGCCCGCCAGCCTCGCTCCGCTGTCTCTTACGCATGCGCGACTCCGAGCTGGCCCAAGAAGTTCGTAGCCTTTGTCAGGCCCGGGATGGGAGGTGAGTTGGGTGTGCGGGGTAGGTGGTGGGCCCGGGGATCGTCCCGTGAGGAGTCCGAGCTGGAGTCTGCGTTTGTGCAAGGGGGCTGGAGGGACTGACCACGAGCTGGAAGCCCTCCCCTCTGGGACACCGGTGCGCGACGGGCGGGGCGGGCAGAGCCGCGGACACGGGGCAGGCGCGGGTCTGGGGCCAGCGCCCGGAGCGGAGCCGGACTTGTGCACGCTCCTTGTGCCCCGGGGACGGCCCCAGCATCATCTCGGGCCCCCACTCGCACCCCCAGGACAGCTGCACAGGGTAGGGACCCAGCCTCAGGGTGCCGCCCCCGGGTTTCCAGGCTCCCGCTCGGTGGGAGCGAGGCAAGCTCCACCGTGAGCCAGACGCCGTCCAGACCTGACCGTGACCTTTCTGCAGATCCCCCCGCGGGAAGGCAGCAAGGACGACCGCGAGACCCCCGAGGGCTTCTGACTGTTCTGCCCGCAGAGTCCTGAGCTGGGGAGAAGCGCAGCATCTTCGGGGCATGGAGGAGGCGGTGGTCATGGAGACAGAGTTGGCCGAAATGCCCGAGAGAAGAGGTAGGATTGCTGCCGAGGTGAGCGTGTGGAAGGGCGGGATTCTACTCTGGAAAGGAAAACGGTTGCCTCGGGGGAGATCCCTGCTTGGCAGGCTGTCACCATCGTCTTGGGGATGCATGGGCTCTTTGGAGTATGCAGGGCTTGGGATGGAGCCACAGTCCTGCAGGGTGCTGGTAAACCCTTCAAAATCACCAAAAACAGCAAAATCTAGGCTCAGAGGTGTGAGCACAGTGTCCTCAATTACTTTTTCTCACGTTTTTTCTCCCAAAATATTGTCCCAATAATCTCCAGCCAGTGGTCTGAGAATTCAGGTTTGCGCTTGGCAAAAAACAGAGCCCCACACCTGCTACCCGCTTTATCCGTACAATTACCCTATGATTTCAGTACAGAGAATTTTGTCATTGAACATACAAGAGAAGTGAATTTTGTCATTGAACGTACAAGAAAACAGACGTGGAAGTTGGTCAGTGACTTCCAATTCTGCTAGACCAAGGGTCACTTGAAATTTGGTTTGTAATCTCTATGTGGGGTTTCTCTTCCTTCTCTCCTACTTGAGAAACTTCTAGATTGTACCCTGGACTCAACCAGTGAAAGTTAACTTGAGGTGGGGTTTGGCAGCCTACATTTTATTTAGTTTTTTAAGATTAATTTCTTTGAAAGGCAGAGAGAGAGAGAGAGAGAGAGAGAGGTCTTCCATCTGCTGGTTCACCCCCCAAGTAGCTGCAATGGCCAGAGCTGCGCCGATCTGGAGCCAGGAGCCAGGAGCTTCTTCCAGGTCTCCCATGTGGGTGCAGGAGCCCTTGGGCTTAGGCCATCTTCTGCTGCTTTCCCAGGCCATAGCAGAGAGCTGGATCAGAAGTGGAGTAGCCAGGACTCAAACTGGTGTCCAACTGGGATGCCTGCACTGCAGGTGGCGGCTTTACCTGCTGTGCCACAGCACCGGCTCCAGCAGTCTACGTTTTAAATAAGCATGTGGAATAATTTTGGAGGCCCATGGAGCCCACTTCTCCAACAAAAGGGACTGATGTGTTCTAATTTCTGGATCAGAGTGCCACCTTCTAGAATGTGTTCAGATATAAACCCCAAGTAGCAATATTCATGGACACGTGCCATGGTCTTGCGAGGCAGTGGGTTGACTTGGGCTCCCCTCAGTCTCAGTGTTTGTAGGGAGCACAGTTTGTGTGGAAGCAGCATGTTTAGACTTGCAGTTCTCAGGACAAGAGCAGCTGAGGCCCCATCATTACTCCTTTCTTGCCCTTAGCTCTGTCGTTCCAGGAGTCTCCCCTTTCCCAAGAAAAGAGTGCAGAAGGCGGCGAAGTGGCAGCTCTGCGCCTCACGGCCAGATCCCAGGTGAGTGTGAGCGCTAATGATTGTGGAAATCCCACCTTCCCAAAGTACAGGTGCATTCCTTTGTGAGACGGAGTTTCTTTGTCCACTGGAGCTGTTTTAGAGAGCTGAGTTCTAAGAGATTACAAAGGGCTCAGTAGAAAATGTTTCCTACTTACCCAGAGTACCTTTTTTTTTTTTAAGATTTATTTATTTACTTGAATGCCAGAGTTACACAGAGAGAGAAGGGGAGGCAGAGAGAGAGAGAGAGAGGAAGAGGGAGGTCTTCCATCTGCTGGTTCACTCCCCAGTTGGCTGTAATGGCCAGAGTTGTGCCGATCTGGAGCCAGGAGCTTCTTCTGGGTCTCCCACAAGGGGCCCAAGGACTTGGTCCATCTTCCACTGCTTTCCCAGGCCATAGTAGAGAGCTGGATCAGAATTGGAGCAGCTGGGTCTTGAACCGGCGCCCATATGGGATACTGGCACTGTAGGCGGCAGCTTTACCCACTACGCCACAGCGCCGGCCCCCCCATAGTATCTTTCTTCTCCATCCATATTTATTGTTTGGCAGACAAATAAGTGGTATTTTCCTCTTTCTACCTGCTGTGCTAATTTCTGTTTGGTCATGTGGGAAACTATTTTGCAGATAATGTGGTACATGTCACTTAAAACTTGTTTCTCTATAGGGAAACAACACATATATGTCTTTGAAGGAATTTAGGAAAGCACCTTGAATGTCGATGTGATTTTAAAAGAAGTGTCCAGATAGTTAAAAGAAAGGCCTATGGAGAATCCAATGGTCACAATTAGAATTCAGACCTCCAAGATAAAGAATGCTGAGGCAGTGTGTCTGCAACTTTTAAGTTGTTGCCCTTCCCCCCCCCCCAAAAGGGCCAGAATAGCCAATATTAAGAATTGTTGGGGCTAACATTATGACACAGTGGGTTAAGCTTCCGCTTCTGACTTGAGCATCACATATCAGAGTGCTGGTTTGAGTCCTAGCTGCTCCACTCCAGTCCAGCTTCCTGCTGGTGGTGCTTGGGCCACTGCCACCCAGCATTGACTGTTGTGGCCATTTCAGGAGTTAACCAGTGAATGGAAGATCGATCTCTCTCACTCTCTCTCCCCTCCACTCCCTCATCCTCCCTCTCTTTCTCTCTGTTCTGCCTTTCAAATAAATATATATTTTTTTTAAATTGCTGAATTTAGGTGGTAGTCATACCATATGGCTGATCATTGTGTTTGTCTTTCAAGTTTATACGTCTTGAAAAGTTTTATTTGAAGGAGCCGGGGAGGAGAAAGAGAGCTGTCCACGTTGTGTGTGGAGTACCACAACCCAAAGATTCCTCCGCCTTTCTCTTGGCTACTGTGATCCAAGGCATACACAGTAATTATTAGACACTGGCAGTGTGTATACAGGTGACTTTGCAGGTTCTTTATATACTTGCTGTCTTCCATTGGCTTCTTAGCCACCTTACATTAGTCTTGAAGACTTCATTAGTCGGTTGGAGCTGATGAAAAAAAAACTGGCTTAAGCAAAGAGGGGTATTTATTGACTATAATGTTATTGAAAAATTGAGGTCTGGCCAGATGTGGGGCCCAGGAAATAACATTAAAACCTGTTCTCTTCATTTCACAAAGCTTTCTTTTCCTCCGTGGGTTTTGCTCTCAAGCACACTTTTCCTCCAGCACTGGCTACAAACAGGTTTAGGCTGACTTACATCTTCCCATGTTGAGGGCCAGAGAAAGGAGGCAGCTTCTTTCCTAGAAATTCTGGCAGAAGTGCTGAGATTAATTCTATCAAGTTAATTTGCCCGTATCTGAACCAGTTACTGGTCAACTCTAAGTGGAACTCTGTGTGGAATAGACTTACACATACGCTACAAACACATCTTAACCAAGAGTCAGTGCTACCCAGACTATACCTACTCAGTGAAAGTGGCCAGGGATAGGGGCTAGAGGGAACGTCGGGGTTCAGGTAGTAGAGGGAGGGTGATTACTTCATCCATTCCAACCCTGCGATACTGGATTCAAGATTGTTGTAGCATCAGGATGGTTGAAAACTGTTAGAGAAATTAAAAATACCTCTGTTTTTGCAAGTCTTTTTCTTGTTGGAATTTGACTAGGCTATTTTTTATCTTACAAGATTTTCTAGCCTATTTAACAAAAAGAACAGCACAGACTAGAAATGTAAAGGTAATATTACTTTCTCACCTCTCCCTACTGATGTATATTTTCCCATACTTTTGCTTGAGCTTGCACTACTGTAGACATCTATTGTATTGTATTTTCCTTCCATTTCCTTTCTAGTCTCCAGCCTTAGCAATAATATTTTGTTTGAGTGGCCTATTATGTAAACAGGATACAGCTTTTTAGAAAACAACAACAAAAAAGCCTTTTAATAAGGAAATTTACTCATTCACATTTAATATATATGTTTCAAATTCTTCTTGCCAAATGACTTTTAAGATTTATTTATTTGAAAGGCAGAGTTACAGAGAGAGAGAGAGAGAGATCAATCTTCCATCTGCTGGTTCACTCCCCAGATGGCCCCAGGGGCCAGAGCTGAGCCAATCTGAAGCCAGGAGCCAGGAGCTTCTTCTAGATCTCCCACGTGGGTGCAGGGGTTCAAGCACTTGGGCCATCTTCTACTGCTTTCCAGGCCACAGCAGAGAGCAGGATTGGAAGTGGAACGGCTGGGATTCAAACCAGCGCTCATACGGGATGCCAGCACCGCAGGCGGCAGCTTTCCCTACTACACCACAGCACTGGCCCTGCCAAGTGGTTTTATATTTCTGTTTCCTATGCTTTCTTTGTTTTTCCTTTGGTATTTTTCCTGCTTTTAAGCAGTAGTTTACGTTTTTGTTGTTCTGATTTTTTTCTATTTGTCCAACAGTTAATTCTACTGAGTGTTGGTTTAATCATGTATGTATAGATTCCAAGATCCAGATCAACTTTTCCTTATCTTTTCTTTTTAGTGATTTTATGTATTGTTTTATTTTCAAAGGATGAATTTTTAAAAATTAAATCACAGATTATTCCCATTTTTGTAAATTTTACTCTGAAATAATTTTAGGCAAAAGAAATGCTGCAAATAGTACAAAGATTTCTTTTATACTCATCCAGATTTTCAAAAAATAACATTTTATTTTATATTATTCTCTTTGTCCAAGATCAAGACATTAACATTGGTATGATACTATAACCTGTGGACCTTATTCAGAATTCCCAGCTGTCTTATTTTTCTGTTTTTGAAATTTCTGCTTTCTCTGTTTCCTTAGTTTGTTGTTCTTTTTCTAATTCAATTTGTATGCTTAGCTTATTTGTTCATGCAATTCTTTAATAAATGGCAGTGTTTAAAGCTCTGAAATTCACTCAGTATAGTTTCTGCGTTTTTGTTTCATTATTTATATTTCATTTTTGTTTTTTTAGTTATCAATCATTGTTCTAGTTCTGTTTTGGAGTTTATTGAAGTTTACATTATTACTTTTTGCAAACGCTTCATGAACATTTAACTAGAAGGTGTTTTCTCTCCAGTTTTAACATTTGGTATATGTTTATTCCACCAACCTTGGAATAATACTTCCATGCTTTATGGCTTTACTTAAAGGGGCCTGTTTGATACTGATACGCCTCTTAACTCTATATAGTTTTATAATTTTTGTCTTAGAGAAATGCAGTCTCACAGTATTTGATACATAAACATGTCTGACTTCTAGTTTTGCCCCGATTTTATTGCAGTCGTTTTCCAGTTTACTGCTTTTCCCCTTGAATTCTCTGCTTCGCGGAATTTGGTGCTTGTTGCCAGTCTCTGCCTTCCATGACGTCTCCATGCACAAGTTCACCTTCTGGTTGCCTTAGAATTCATCTTCAGTCTTTCATTGAGGATTCACAGGAATCATGCAAACATGCCTTATTCCCCCCTCTGCTTATCTTGTTTACTTTACCAAACTACATCGTGGTGGGGTTTTTTTGGTTGTTTGGTTTTTGTTTTGTTTTTCCTCACTTTTGTTTTGGAGACTGAGAGCTCCCATCCAGTGGTTTACCCTGAACCAGGCCTAAGCCAAGAGCTCAGTCCAGGTCTCCGGCATGGGTGGCAGGGATCCAACCACCTGAGCTGTCATCTGCTGCCCCCCAGGGTGTGCATTAACAGGGAGCTAGAGCTGGGGACAGAGCCAGGACTTGCACGGAGGCACTGTGACAGGGAGTGCAAGCATCCCAGCCAGCAACTCAACTGTTACCTGGAACGTGCACTCCTGATTCCTGTTTTAATACTTTATTCTCGGCCGGCGCCAGGGCTCACTAGGCTAATCCTCCACCTAGCGGTGCCGGCACACCGGGTTCTAGTCCCTGTCGGGGCGCCGGATTCTGTCCCGGTTGCCCCTCTTCCAGGCCAGCTCTCTGCTGTGGCCCGGGAGTGCAGTGGAGGATGGCCCAGGTGCTTGGGCCCTGCACCCCATGGGAGACCAGGAGAAGCACCTGGCTCCGGCCGTGGCGGCCATTGGAGGGTGAACCAACGGCAAAAGGAAGACCTTTCTCTCCTCACTGTCCACTCTGCCTGTCAAAAAAAAAAAAAAAACAACTTTATTCTCCAGGAAAAAACAATGTAGTCTTTCAGTGGAAAAACCATGGTCTTATTGCTTTTGGCTCCAATTGAATCTAGCACAGTGACTTTAGACTTGTAATTTTTTTTTTTAATAAAGATTTATTTTTACTTATTTGAAAGACGGAGTTACAGAGAGAAGGAGAGACACAGAGAGAGGTCTTCCATCTCCTGGTTCACTGTTCACTTCCCAAATGGCTGCAACAGCTGGAGCTGCACCGATCAGGAGCCAGGAGCTTCTTCCAGGTCTCCCATGTGGGTGTAGGAGCCCAAGGACTTGGGCCATCTTCTACTGCTTTCCCAGCAGAGAGCTCAATCGGAAGTGGAGCAGTCGGTACTTGAACCAGCGCCCATATGGGATGCTGGGGCTGTAGGCTGGGGCTTTAACCCACTGCGCCACAGCGCCGGCCCATAGATTTGTAATCTTAATACTATTAAGAGGCCTGTCATTTGTCACAGCTTCTTTCCTTATTGAGTGTCTTTGTTCCATGGCCAGCAGAAAGTGGGGGATGACTAAGAGGCTGTCACATGAAAGTGACCAAAAGTGTGCTTTGTGTCCCAGACAACAGTGACATTCAAGGACGTGGCCATGGACTTCACGCCGGAAGAGTGGGGGAAGCTGGACCCTACACAAAGGGCGGTGATGCTGGAGAACTACAGGAACCTGGTCTCGCTGTGTAAGCACAGACTCGCTCTCTGACTTGAAACCCGCTCAGGGGGATGTCGTCACTTTATTAAAAGTAAAAACAGCTTAACAAAGTGTCCATTCTTTGGAACGTTCAGAAAATTCTGTTTCTGCTTTAGGTTCTTGGAAAATGTGTGTGCTTGCTCTGAGTCGGGATTCAAGTGACAGAAACAGAATCCACACCTTGGTTCAAGGAATCAAATGTATCATAAGGATTTCTTCTGTTTATTTTCAGGCAGTCGGCTGGGCTTCACTCAGCTTTATTTGTACATCTCCCCACATGGCAGAGATGGCCATAGGCAGCCCCAGGGCTAGGGTATTCTTCCCGTTAGAGAGCTCAGCGAAAACAGAAAAATGCCTGCAAATAGGGTCACAGGCCCAGCACTGGAGCTAGAAAAGCCAAGGACACTCTGGCCTCTTCTGGATCCTTTGCCTCTGTGTGTGTGTGTGTGTGTGTGTGTATGCAAACGTGTATGCATGTTTGTATGCAGATAAGCCCCTCCCAAACCTCACATTAACAAATCCCATCAGAAACTTCTACTACTACCTGAAGAAAGAGGGAAGGAAAAACCAGACAAAACCTCTAATTACTGCAGTCACAGTTTGGTCCTGCTGCCATGAGGTCCCACTTTTTCCGTTTTCTTCCCTAAGATTAGGACTAATATGTAATATCTCTCTGGAATTTCCTGACACAATTAAAAGACATTCTCATCTTTTGACTGGTGAACGATTCGTCTGTACAAATCCATTTAGCTACTTCTCACCAGTCCATTTACTGCAGATCTTTGTGTAATAACTTGTCTTCTTTGTAGATCAGGGGGTGGAAACTATGCATACCACAAGTAGCTAAGACCCATTTCTTCTTTCTTTCCTTTTTTTTTTTTTTTTTATGAATAGGGCTCCCCATTTCCAAACCTGAGAGCTACGATGTGGAGAATGGAAAAGAGCCGTTGACACTTGAGAGAAAAGTGCCCAGTAGCAGCTATCCAGGTGAGTTGGCGCTGGGCGTCTTCAGACATGACAGCCCAGCAGGACAGTGAAGAAGTGGCATTTTCACTGCCCAAGGAAAAGTATTAGGAGTGTACTGTGCCTTTATTTTTTAAAATCTTTTAAATTCTAAATCATTTCAAATACATACAGAAGTCCAGAAAAGAAAGTAATAGGCGTGTATCCATCACCAAGATTAAATATGTGGTAATATTTTGCCTCATTTGCCTCTTTCTTTGCAATATAAAATGCATAAAAGCATGATGACTGCATCTTAACTGTCCAGTCTTAATTTTCACAAACTAAAGATATCCACGTACTCAGTGCCAGATCAGGAAAACAACTCGGCAGCACCCCTCCAGGCCCCTCCTTGCATGACCTCTCTTCTCCCAAGGGGCACCTGATGCTGACCAGTCACACCATAGACTAATTTTGACTGCTCTTGAGCCTCACATAAATGAAACCATATTGTATATATTCTTGTGTCTGCTTCCTTTGCAGAAAACATTAGCTTGTGCATATCATTGTGTTTCCCTCATTCTCATTGTTGTACGTGCTTCCATTATGTCAGTATACCGTTTATCCATTCTCCTGAAGGCAGGAATTTGAATAGTTTCCAGTTTGGGGCTAACGTTGCTGCTATGTATATTCTTTACATGTCGTGGTGAACACATACATGCGGTCCTATTGGATATATACAATTAGAATTATTAAGCGATGGGGTAGGTGTGTGTTCATTTTTAGTAGGTAACACCAAAGAGGTTTGTAGCATCATCATTCTAGATACCCACCAGCACAGTTTGTCAGTTCTATTTGTTCCACATGTTTATCAACACCTAACTGTCTGTCTTCATTTGAGCCATTCTTATGAGTGTGTGATATCTTTTACTTAAGAAATAAAAAATATTACAGACTCAGTTAAAACCTTTCATTCTCTTCCTCTACTAGAAATAACACTATATCTTGAAATTGATATGAATCACTTCCCTGTTTGCATGCGTATGTATGTATACACACATATACAGATATGTGTGTACATAAAACAATAGATATATACTTTGTTATTTTTTCCTTCTGTTATCTTTTTTAACTTCATATTGTCTTTTTGTATTAAGCTATGGTTTAACACATAAGAATCATATTTGTTTATTTTAACTGATATGGAGTAAGCCTACTATATAAATAAACTCAGCAGTTTATTTTTATTTCTTTGCTATTAGTAACAGAGTTGCAATGATCATCCATTTATTGGCTCCTTATATATTCATGTTGAGAGTTGGTTTAGGATGGGTAACTGGAAGGGGAATTACTGAGACTTAATGTGTCACAGGTTTAGCTTTATTAGGGATGCAAAGCACCTACTGCCATCCTGGCCAATAATTAATGTTTTCAGACTTCTTATTTTCATCAGTCTGAGTGGTGTAAAATGCTATTCCATATTCATATTTTTATATATATATATATACACACGTGTGTGTGTGTGTGTATATATATATATTTACTTGAGAGGTAGAATTAAAGACAGTGAGAGAGAAAGAGAGAGAAAGGCCTTCAATCCTCTGGTTGACTCCGTATTTGGCTGTAATGGGGCAGAGCTGCAGTGATCTGAAGCCAGGAGCTTCTTCCAGGTCTCCCGCATGGGTGCTGGGGCCCAAGCACTTAGGCCATCCTCCACTGCTTTCCCAGGTCATAGGAGAGAGCTGGATCGGAAGTGGAGCAGCCGGGACTCGAACCAGTGCCCATATGGGATGCCAGCACTGCAGGCGGCAGTTTTACCCTCTATACCATAGCACTGGCCCTGATTTCATGTTTTTTAAATTGCATTTCTGTGATAAATATAGTGAGTTTGAGATTTTCATATTTATTGCTTATTCAGGTATCTCTTGTGAATTACCTGATACTTTGCGCCTTTTTAAAAATTGAGCTATTCACATCTTTCTCTTGATCTGTTGGAGTTCTTTAGGTTACCATATGAGATTTATTGACATTCTTTCTGTTAGTACATGACAGAGCTAGCATTACAAATAAGTCATAAAATATTGACCCCTCTGATCTTTAGCTGATTTTATTTTATGATGTTAGCATATAGAATTCTATATTTTAATACCACATTTATTTATTTAAAGCAAACTACTCATTTGCTTTCTATGAATTTTTTCTTATCTCAATTTCAGAATGATAATCTGTATTTAAATTTTTCAAATTTTGTTTTTCAGGTGTGTATTTTTGTATATGGTATGAAATAGGGAACTGATTTTATCTTTTTACATGCTTATGCCAACAATCCAGCATCACTTATTTAATAATCTTTTGTTACTGATTTGTAATGATAATTCTTTGGGAAACCCAGTTTCTCTATATGCTTGGAGTTCTGTCTAGGCTGTCTGGCATACTTATCTGTCTGTACCCAGTACTATCAATGTTTTAATTACTATGCTAAATAGTGTCTGTTTCTCTTACTGAAAGTCGATCTTGAATATTATTATTATTATTATTATTATTATTATCTTCTTGTTCTTTTGAATACTGAGAAAGTTTTAAGGTCTTTCCCTGTGAGTGTAGCTATGCCGGTTTCTCCTGTGGTCCTGTCAGTTTTGTATTGCCTACTCAACACCCTTTTTTGTAGAATTTCTTAATGATCTGTAAGAACCACAGGAGGTATCTTCCTTTTCTTATGTTACAAATGTTCTTTTCTAAATTTTGCCTTTCAGTTCCACTGTGCATTTTGGTACCTGCCTTTTGAGTACCAACTAAGAAGTCCTTTCTCATCCCCAAATTACATAAATATTTGCCTCTGTTTTCTGGTTTATTTGGCCTCTGATTTTTCCTTGAAATCCTTCATCCATTTGGAGTCACCTCTTACTCCTCTGGGAACATCCTCTTAGCCTTCTGTTTAGAGCAGTTAAATGTTTGAATTGTTCAAACTTTGATTTTAATTTCCTCTCCTCTGTATAAATAGCCATAAACTTGAGTGCTTAGATGGCTGTCACATAATATTACTAAGTGAAGCGAGCTGAGTGGGTGCTGGAAGCTAGAATACATGCCTCAACTGAAATTAAAAGCTTTCACTCAACTCACTGTCACTCAAGGGCAGGCAGACTTTGATATAAAGGGCTGGATGGCAAACAGTGAATTTCATGGGACATGTGGTCTTCACAACCATTCAACCCACCATGATCGTGTGAAAGCAGCTTCAACAATGTATAAAAATAAATGGGTATAACTATGTTCCAATAAAGCTTTATTTAGAAAAGTAGGTAGCAGGTGATTGTTGCCAACTCCTGCCCTCACTGGTTGTTGACACGGAGTATCCTTCTATGGTAATTTTCAAGAGACGATCAAAATTTAGATTACTTTGTAAAATCTCCCTATTTTTAAATGTTGGCAACTAATTGTTTTTAATTTGCATAAACAGTATGGGCCAAACACAACATAGCAGTCAGACTTGGCCAACAGGTCGTCTACCTGTAGCTTCTGCCTTCCCCTTAGTCGTCTCATCATTCCCACAACCCACTATCATCAATCCAGATGAGTTCCAAATTGCTATTTCCATCCTAGGCCTCTCCTCAGAGCCTGTTCTGAACACCTGCATAGTATAACTATTTGATGTCTTTATTTGCTATGTCAAAGACATCTCAGTAAAATGTACTTAAAACTGAATGCCTGAAATATGCCCAAATTCCCATGCAAACAGGATCCTTTTCCAGTAGTTGTCTCACTGATACTCCCTGCCTTATCAAATTGTACATGCCAGAACTCTGTGGACAGTTTTTACATTTCCTCCTCTCCTTTATGCATGAACACATTTACTTAATTACATTTTATGGTAATTAGCAAATACTCATGCACTGTTAACACCCACATGCCTGTTGTTTGCCTGAATGGTTATGATAAATCTCCCCAATTCTGCCTTTGCCCCATGCACTCCATTCTCTACATCATACTGAGAGTGATGTTTTCAAAATCAACTCGAATCAAGTTATCCCTTTGCTTCAAACACTTCAGTGATTCTCACACCTGTTGGCTTAATGACCAAAATCCTTGAGGCTGACAAAATCTTGTAAAACTGGCTTTTACTCACTTCAACTTTTTTTTAATTTTTAATTAATTAATTAATTTATTTATTTATTTGACAGGCAGAGTTAGTGAGAGAGACAGAAAGAAAGGTCTTCCTTCCGTTGGTTCACTCCCCTAATGGCCTCCACGGCCGGCGCTGTGCCAATCTAAAGCCAGGAGCCAGGTGCTTCCTCCTGGTCTCCCATGCGGGTGCAGGAACCCAAGCACTTGGGCCATCCTCCACTGCCCTCCCAGGCCACAACAGAGAGCTGGACTGGAAGAGAAACAACCGGGACTAGTACCCGGCGCCCCAACCAGGACTGGAACCTGGGGTGCCAGCGCTGCAGGTGCAGGATTAGCCTAGTGAGCCACAGCACCGGCTTCACTTCGACATTTTTATCTCACCTGTTTTCCCTCCTTCTCTGGGCTATGTCATAGCAGTTCTTGAATGTTTTCGCATCCAAAGACTCATGTAACTAAAAATTATTGAAGACTGTAAAGAACTTTTGTACATACAGGTGATATCTACCAATATTTACCACATTAGAAATTATAACTGAGGGGCCAGCTTTGTGGCACAGTAGGTTAAGCATTCACCTGCGGTGCCTGCATCTCATATGGCCACTGGTCTAGTCCCAGCTGCTCTACTTCTGATCCAGCTCTGTGCTATGGCCCAACTGCTTGGGCCCCTGCACCCACATGGGTGACGAGGATGTAACTTCTGGCTCCTGGCTTCAGCCTGGCCCAGCTCCAGCCATTGCAGACATTTGGGGAGTGAACCAGTGAATGGAAGGTAACTCGCTCTCTCTGTTTCTCCCTCTCTCTGTCTGTAGTTATGCCTCTCAAGTAAATAAATAAATCAAAAAAAGGAGGAAATATTAAAAAAAAAAAAACTAAGACTGAGCAAAAGTAAGCTATTAATTTTAAAATAATTATAAACCCATTGCCCTCTACTGCAATACAATTTTTATGAAGATTTCATGAACAAAAATATGTTACCTAAAAGAGTGGTGGGTTTTTGTAGTATTCTTGACTTTTTTTAAAAGATTTATTTTATTGGAAGGCAGAGTTACAGAGAAAGAGAGAGGTCTTACATCTGCTAGTTTACTTCCCAAATGTCCTTAATGACTGGGGCTGGACCAGGCCAAAGCCAGGAGCCTGGAGCTTCTTCTAGGTCTCCCATGTGAGTACAGAGGCCCAAGGACTTGGGCCATCCTCTGCTGCTTTCACAGGCTCATTAGCAGGGAGCTGGATCAGAAGTGGAGTGGCCGGGACTCAAACCAATACCCATACAGGATTTTTTTTTTTTTTTCACATTTCTGCAAATCTCTCCAAGATATGGCTTCATCAAAGATAATTATTCTTATAGTTGCTTCTGAATACAGTTTTTTTATGATTTGTTGAGGTTGTTTTTTGTTTGTTTTTTTTTTAAAGATTTATTTATTTGAAGGAGGAGAGGGAGAGGGAGATCTTCCATCTGCTGCTTTAACTGCACAGATGGTCACAATGGCTGTAGCTAGTCCAGGCTGAAACCAGAAGCTGGGAGTTTCCCACTTGGGTGTCAGGGGCCCAAGTACTTGAACCATCCTCCACTGCTTTCCCAGGCACATTAGCCAGGAGCTGGATTGGAAGCCGAGCAACTGTGATCCTAACCAGCACTCAGATAGGATATGCTGGCATCCCAGGCTGCATCCTAACCCATTGTGCCACGTTGCCAGCATCTGTTATATGCTCTTCTAGTTCAAGTGTATGAAGAAAATCCAGTATTACCTAGATAGTTGGAAAAGAGAGAAGTGTTTTATATTTATAATCCTTCTCAGATATAATTATGACTGTTCTGCTATAAGACTCCCAAACTGAGTAGGAGTTAGTTGATTAAAGATTAGGTACAAGGACAGCCATTGGCCTAGTGGTTAAGACACCTGCCTCCCATATCAGAGAGTCTGGATTCAGATCCTGGCTGTGCTCCTAATCCCAGCTTCCTGCTAGAGGGGATCCTGGGAGGCAGCAGGTGATGGCTCAAATGCTTATGTCCCTGCTGCCCCCATACAAGGCAGAGCTGGGATTCAGAGTCATATGTTCTGGTTGCAAAGCCCATCTTTGCACTGTGCTTTCCTGACTGCCCCTCCCCACAGGGCTTTCCTACATTTCCTTCCCTCCACCTGCAACACTCACATCAGTGCTTGTGTACCTATTTTTTTTTTTTAAGATTTATTTTATTTATTTGAAAGGCAGAGTTATACAGAGGCAGAGAGAGGGCTTCCATCCGCTGCTTCACTCCCCAGATGGCCACAATGGCCAGAGCTGTACCAATCTGAAGCCAGGAGACAGGAGCTTCTTATGAGTCTCCCACACGGGTTCAGGGGCCCAAAGACTTGGGCCATCTTCTACTGCTTTCCCAGGCCATAGCAAGACCTGGATTGGAAGTGGAGCAGCCAGGACTCAAACTAGCACCCATGTGGGATGCCGGCACTGCAGGGAGCAGCTTTACCCGCTACACCACAGCACCAGCCCACTTGTGTACCTATTAATTCAAACACTCATCCCAAACCCCAGCTCCAGCTCCTTTGGTTCAGCTCAGTGATGTACTTCCTTCAGAGAAGTGTCTCCCTCGTATTCCTCCTCTTATTCTATCTTCATAGCATCATATCCCTTTGACTCCTCAGTACCTCAGTACTTTTAACAAGTAGAGTTTTGTATTTGTGAATGTTAGATTAAATTCTCTCCCCCTCATGTGCATGGGAACTATATGTGGTTTTCCCAGGGACTAACAGTGTATGTAGCACATGGTGTATATTCATTAGATATGAGTACTATCGAATAAAATCAATAAATAGTAGATAAATGGGTGAATAGAATTTATTTGGGTATAATAAAGGGAGAGATATAACTAAATCTAACTTAATTTTCTTCTAGTGTTGAGTTGTCATGGCACCATTTGTTAGAAAGACAAACCTTTTGGCTGGCGCCACGGCTCAATAGGCTAATCCTCCGCCTTGCGGCGCAGGCACACCGGGTTCTAGTCCCGGTCGGGGCGCCGGATTCTGTCCCGGTTGCCCCTCTTCCAGGCCAGCTCTCTGCTGTGGCCCGGGAGTGCAGTGGAGGATGGCCCAAATGCTTGGGCCCTGCACCCCTTGGGAGACCAGGATAAGCACCTGGCTCCTGCCTTTGGATCAGTGCGGTGCGCCGGTCGCTGCGGCCATTGGAGGGTGAACCAACGGCAAAGGAAGACCTTTCTCTTTGTCTCTCTCTCTCACTGTCCACTCTGCCTGTCAAAAATAAATAAATAAATAAAAGACAAACCTTTTGTTCACTAACTGAAATACCACCTTCATATTATCCTTAATTGTTACATATACTTGAATTTGCTCTTCTATTTCACTAATATATTTGTTCCTTTGAACCACAGTTTATTTTGTCTTTATAAAAGCTTATTAGATTCCAAAATTGCAGTATATTTATATTAAAGGTATTTAGAAAAGTTTAGCTCATTCCTGCCCTCTTGCTTATGTTCTGATATTTTCTCCATAAGTAATCATTTTCATTAGTTTTTCATGCATCCTTTGGCTTTTGAAAATATAACCAAATACTGTATACACAGGGTACATCAAATATTGTGGAAAATGGAATTAAAAGATGTTTATTTTGGTGTGGCAAGATTTGAAGACCCTGTGTGGTTTTTTTCATGACATTCATTTTCTATGAACTTTTTTTTTTTTTTTTTTTTTGGACAGGCAGAGTGGACAGTGAGAGAGAGAGACAGAGAGAAAGGTCTTCCTTTGCCATTGGTTCACCCTCCAATGGCCGCCATGGCTGGCACGCTGCGGCCAGCGCACCGTGCTGATCCGATGGCAGGAGCCAGGTGTTTCTCCTGGTCTCCCATGGGGTGCAAGACCTAAGCACTTGGGCCATCCTCCACTGCCTTCCCGGGCCACAGCAGAGAGCTGGCCTGGAAGAGGGGCAACCAGGACAGAATCCAGCGCCCCGACCAGAACTAGAACCTGGTGTGCCAGCGCCGCAAGGCGGAGGATTAGCCTTGCGAGCCATGGCACCGGCCATTTTCTATGAACTTTTTGAAGACTCTTGCTACCCTTACCTTTTTTCCTACACCAAAAGCAAACCATGCATGCTCATTTATACTCTTTTTTACTTAGAGATTACTTTGGGAAACTCTAGAAGGTTTCTGATGAGGGGCATCGTAGAAAAGCATTGTTAGGAAGATTAAACTGGCAGTGGGTTGTATATTTGGATGTGGCAAGATTAGAAGACTGAGAACTTAGAAGTCATAGCTATATACTGAGATAATTGCTTGGATATTTATTGCAGCAATGTGTGTTGTATAAAAAGTTATTTCTTTCATTCTGACCTGGTGTACTCAGTCTTCTAATAAACAGATATATTGCTTCATATATAACTCGCATTTTCCTATATTTCTGGATGTCTTTTCCCTCTTGGGATTCTCCTGGATGGAGTATACTCATTTTCTCTGCATATACTGAATATTTGTTTCCCTCCATTTGCTTCTCTTTACAAATCATCTAATGAGTCAGATCCACCTACTCCGTGAAGGCATGCCTTTCACCTTCATTAACTTTTACCTATTACAGAATTGCCTTTCTGTTGAGCACAGAAAACGAAGGGAATTTGCATTTCCAATGTCTTTCAGACGTGGAGACAAGACCCAAGAACAAGGATTCAACTTCAGAGCAAGATTTTTCCAAAGAAGATTCCTGCCAGGTTGCAATAATAGAGAGACTGACAAAGAATAATGGCTTGGAAACAGCTCTTGAATGTGACAGTTGGTTAGAGAATCAGCAAGGAAGTCAGGAGAGACACTTGAGAGAAATGTTCACCCACATGAATTCATTACCCGAAGAAAGAGATCATGAACATGACGTTTACTGGGAGAACTACAGTCAGAAGTCTGTTCTCACCACTCAAGACAGAGTTCCCAAAGGGTCCTATTCCTTTCATACACTTGATAAAAGATTGAAACAGAAGTCAAACTTAATGAAAAGCAGAGAACTTTTAAAGAGAAAAAGCCTCATAAGTGCAATGATTGTGGTGAACTCTTCACTTACCATTCAGTACTTATTCGACACCAGAGAGTCCACACTGGAGAGAAACCTTATACCTGCAGTGAATGTGGGAAGTCTTTTAGCCACAGAGCTAATTTAACGAAGCATCAGAGAACTCATACTAGAATTCTCTTTGAGTGCAATGAATGCAAGAAAACCTTCACAGAAAGCTCGTCCCTTGCAATTCATCAGAGAATTCACATTGGAGAAAGACCTTATGAATGCAGTGAATGTGGGAAGGGTTTTAACCGAAGTACACATCTTGTGCAACATCAGTTGATTCATACTGGAGTTAAGCCCTACGAGTGTAATGAATGTGATAAAGCGTTCATTCATTCATCAGCACTCATTAAACATCAAAGAACTCATACTGGAGAGAAACCCTATAAATGTCAAGAATGTGGGAAAGCCTTTAGCCACTGTTCATCCCTTACTAAGCACCAGAGGGTTCATACCGGGGAAAAGCCATATGAATGCAGTGAATGTGGAAAAACTTTTAGTCAAAGCACACATCTTGTTCAGCATCAGAGAATTCATACTGGAGAGAAACCCTATGAGTGTAGTGAATGTGGGAAAACCTTTAGTCGGAGCTCAAATTTTGCTAAACATCAAAGAATTCATATTGGAAAGAAACCCTACAAATGTAGTGAGTGCGGAAAAGCCTTCATTCATTCATCAGCTCTTATTCAACACCAGAGAACTCATACTGGAGAGAAGCCCTTTAGATGTAATGAATGTGGGAAAAGCTTTAAGTGTAGTTCATCCCTCATCAGACATCAAAGAATTCACACTGAAGAACAACCCTGAAACATCCCTGAATGTGAAATAATGTAAGTTGGGTTTATAACTGTGTTAAGTACCTGAGTGTTTAGATGTAAAGCCATTGTATGCACTTGAGGACTAATTTTATATAAGCTTCTAATTTCACTCGCATAATACGTAGTTTTGAGCCACAGACAGGATGGTCCTTATGTCCATTGATTTGCTTATTAAAACTTCTGTCCAGAGATCTCAAAATTTTAATCTTCAACCTCTCAAATACCCATCCAAGGAAATTCATGCAATCCCAGAAAAGGTAGCATTATAAATTGTGAAATTGTTTTCCCCTCTCCTGGTCATATCAGAGCCCTATTGTAGTTTCTCACTTTGGAAAGGAAATTCTTATTCGATAGGTTAGGTTGATAGCTTATATTAGATCCTTATTATGAAGAGTTCACAAAGTTATTAATCTTTGAATCCAAAATAGAGATCCAGATATACAGGTGGTATCATTTCTCCAGAGAATGTAATTTCTATTATCAAAAAAAGCTAAATAAGCTAAGAGTTGAAAGTTGTTTAGGATTTCCTTCCTATCTCCCAAAAGCTGCTATCTACTTTTATGAACATAAACAAAGTATTTACAGCAGGTTCTGAGTTAATGGACATATGAGTTATATTGATTATAGATTGAGATACTGTTGTCCCTGTCTATAGAAATCTTCCTTCGTTTTCCACTTTTTCCTGGAGTTAGCCTGAAATACAGAGTTGGTCAGAACCTTAAGTGTTGATCTTTGTTTATCGTTGGCATTGAATAAATCCTGGGTCTTCTAATGTCCACAAGTATCCAGGAAACATCGTTTCTCCATGTTAGTTAGTGTTCTGTAAGTTGTGCTGTGTCACTTTGAGAAAAGACCCCATGGCTATTGAGGGTTTGGAAAGCTGGTGGATTGGATCAATGTGTTGTTATATTTAAGGTTCCAGTCAAGAAGGACTGAAGCAGCTGTGAGACAGCAGCTCATACATTCCTGTCAGGTATGGAAAATAGTCACAGGACAGTCCTGCAGCAACTCACTTGACATAAGCGCTGAAAAAGCATTTTCTCTGTCCTTAATGTTTACCCTGTTGTTGTTATTGTTGTTCTCCATGTTTTGGTTGGTCTTTATCCCAGAGTTCTAAAGATGGACAAGGCATGAAATCACAGTGATATGTTAGCATAAGTTACAAGGGTGACCAAGACCATTGGTGGGATTGGAAACACAAAAGCAAAAGTTCAAATAAATAGTAAAACACTATGTAAATGCCATTTTTATTATATATATGTTCTGTATAAAGAAAATTATGTAAAATGATAGAAAAATACAGATTTCTACTTTCTTCTCTCCTGACTCCTATCCTTCATGATCAGTTATCAGTTAATCTGTACTCTTGTCCCTTCCACATTATCCCAGTTACCTACAGTTCCCTCTCGGTAGAACTTAATTTTATGATTGAAGAAAAGTAGGGAGATAGTTTAAAGAAGTAAGGATAGTGAAGAGCACTATCATTACGGATGCATGGAACATAAATCCAGCGATGATGGAAATCATAGGAAATGAGAATAAAAGGGCTTTTCACAAAGAGATTGTAGAATGAACAACAACAAAAAACATTGAAGGAGATTGAGTTGGGGGAGAAGACTTGGGTCTGAAGGGTTTGGGTAGGATAATGGCTGACTCATCACAATATAGGAAAAGGAACTCTTTCACCACCTTAAGTTTCAATATTAATAGTTTTGAGCAGATAACTGTAGCCCAGACCCATAGATCAACTTGGGCCTACAGTCCATTTCTCTAAAAAAATTTTATTGAAACTCAGCTACACATTCATTTACATGTTGTCTTTGGTTGCCTTTCCTTGCAGTGGCAAAATCGAGTAGCTGCAACAGAAATCGTATCTTCTGACTGCTTTAACAAAATATAAACTGGGTAACTTATAAGCAGCCAAGACTTAGTTCTCATAGTTCTGGAAGTTGAGAGGTCCCAAGATCGTAGCATTGGCAGATTTGGGGTCTGATGAAGGCCTACTTCCTGGTAGGAAGGCACCCTTGCACTGTGTCCTCACTAGGTAGAATGGGGCCCATCTTATAAGGACACTAATCTCATTCACAAGGGCCCCACCTACAAAGACCATCACATAGGTAATGACTGGGTTTCAGGGTATGGATTTTGGACATTCAGTCAACAGCCGATTGTATGTCCCTAAAATATTTAGTATCTGGCTCTACAGAAAATGCTAGCTCCTATGCTAGAGCATCTGTCAGGAAGTGAGGTAGAGACAGATAAACCAGTCAGAGAAATTGGAGAAGTTGTAGTGATGGTGAAGTAATCCTTCATTAGGGACTAAAGCCATTGAAGTTACCTCCATGTACCAGACTGGTAAGCAGAGCAATGCAGATGAACACTGAGTTGTTACTACTCCATAACAGTAGCCCTGTCCCTCTAGTTTATTGTTTATTGTTAAGATTTATTATTGTTATTATTTTGCACAAATGCTGCTTTTTGTGCACTGTATGGGGCTTCAGGAAGTGGTTGTAGCGGCCAGGAGCAGCTGGGGTACGGAGAGAGGGGCACAGACAGCCTGGCCGACACGTGGCTGGACCTCAGGAACAAACCAATGACTTAGGGGCCCGCCTGCAGCTGCTCTTGGTGACAGAAAGCATCTCCCAAGTAGAGCTTCCCGTGGCTTCTCAAATCTTAGCAATAAACTAATAACAATAACTAATAATAAGAAGAACCATGTGAGTTTGTGTGAAAGGAAAATAAAAGTGATGGGAAATGCATCAAAATATTCCTAACTCAGGATGTTACTATATATTGTGGAGAGAATGGAAGCTGTGAAAATGTTTTAAATATGCCATATGGTTCAGTGAAAAGAAATTCATTTGGGGACCACATTTAAATTAACAAAATAAGAACGCCCAACATGGGTGTTTGAAAGTTGAGCTTAAAATCTACCACCCCCAGTTAGCAATTGTGTGACCTTAGGAGGCTACTTATCCTGAGTCTCAGTTTCTCTATTTGTAAAATGGAAATAAATCATCCCTTTCTCATGAGGTTGTCATGAGAATTAAATAAGACGGTGCATCTAAAGGATCTGGCGCAGTAGCATGAGGAGCCCCCCTTCCACTTATGTGAGCAAGTGCTCCCAATTCCCCCTTCACTGTCTACATTTATTCCTGAATGAAGCAGTTAAGCATCAGAGTGTGTGTGTGTGTTTGTGTACACTTGTATACAAGAGTGCCTCAGAAAGTCAGTGGAATTAAAAGTACGTTTATTTTGGTGCAAAAGTTTTTTCAAAACCCATGCATAATATATTTTCATAATTCAGATTTCCCCAAAGCTTTTTGAAGCCTGTGTGTGTGTGTGTGTGTGTAAAATGATGTGGCTAAGAATCAGCCCATGGAAGTTGAGAATCATTGTATTCTCCACACCTTTTTTTTTTTTTTTAACCTGTTGAGGACCATGACCGTCCTGCTCCCTGGCCTGTCACAGAGTTGAAGCTTTACTTCTTCCTGCTCTTGTTTCTTTTCTGGTGCTGTTCCCTGCACAGCCTCCTTGAGATCTCCTGGAGCATGCTTTTTTCTTCGTGGGTCTGACTTAAACAGGAGCTATTTGCTGGCTCCAGAAACAAGTTTGTGATTTCACGTGAAGGGGCTTAACTCCACTGTTAATTTTACTGGGAAATATGGCCCTTTGTTTCAGTATTTGTCCTCGTTACACCTGATGTTCAACTTGACTGCGTGTTTGTACTCCAGCGTAAATGTTGAAAGTTTTAATGTTGTTCATTTCAAATGTTTTTGGTTACCTATAAGCAATTTGTTCTTACTGTCCCATTGTCAATAAAGATGTTGTTTGTATATATACATATATTATCAGGAACTTGTGTAAACTGCTTTTAAGTTCACCTAATATAGAATCTTTCATGATGTAAAGAAGGACCAACATAAATTATCTCCGTATCCAGGAAGCCAATCACATTCCTAATTGTTCATCTGGAAGATGGGATGGAGATGCCCTTGGGAGCCTACATATCTGTAAGTTGAGGAGGAGAGGAGGGTGGTTTCTATCATGTAGTACTGAATCTCAGGCCAAGCACAGCCACTATTCCCTTTGCAGGGGCAATGGGCAACAGTAAAAGTAAGGCAGTAAAACCAGGCAAAATAGGTTTTAAAACACTGAGTGGGCCGGCGCCGCAGCTCACTAGGCTAATCCTCCGCCTTGCGGCGCCAGTACCCCGGGTTCTAGTCCCGGTCGGGGCGCCGGATTCTGTCCCGGTTGCCCCTCTTCCAGGCCAGCTCTCTGCTGTGGTCAGGGAGTACAGTGGAGGATGGCCAAAGTGCTTGGGCCCTGTACCCCATGGGAGACCAGGATAAGTACCTGGCTCCTGCCATCGGATCAGCGCAGTGCACCGGCCGCCGTGGCAGCCATTGGAGGGTGAACCAACGGCAAAGGAAGACCTTTCTCTCTGTCTCTCGCTCTTTCACTGTCCACTCTGCCTGTAAAAAAAAAAACAAAAAACAAAACAAAAAACTGAAGTTTGAAATATATGTGGTTTGGAGGAAAGCAATTTAACAGCACACAGGTATAAAATGATTAAGAATAATCAAACATTCAAATCTGCTGGTAATTGTTCAGTCATCTTAAAAGATACTCATAGTTTTTATTTCTTAGATAAATCCTCACTTTTTAAAATACTAGAACAGGGGGCCAGCGCAGTAGCATCCCATATGGGTGCCAGTTCCAAACTTGACTGCTCTACTTCTGATCCAACTCTCTGCTATGGCCTGGGAAAGCAGTAGAAGATGGCCCAAGTCCTTGGGGCCCTGCACCCGTGTGGGAGACCCGGAGGAGGCTCCTAGCTCCTGGCTTTGGATCGGCGCAGCTCTGGCTGTTGCGGCCATCTGGGGAGTGAACCATTGGATGGAAGACTCTCTCTCTCTCTCCCTCTCCCTCTTCCTTTCCTCTCTCTCTATAACTCTGACTTGCAAATAAATAATCTTTAAAAAATAAAATACTAGAACAGGATTCAAGTTAGAAGCTATATGTTCCCATGTTCTCTCTTCCCTTCTTATACTTATTCTTGGCCTAAAATGGGCAATATTGAGGCCCACAGCCATGTGAGCTCTCCCTCACCATAAATTTTACTGGTCAGAGAGAAGAGTATTCCCCTGTAGTTGATAATACATCCAATGTGGCATCTATGGGTTACTGTATTGTTTCAGTTAATGCCCTAAAAAATCAGATGTTTTCACTGAATCATTTACATTTTTCACTATGTAACCTCTTTTTTTTTTAACCTGTTCATCCATAAACCAGATAATCAGCCCTTAGATTGAGTTACTCTAAATCAAATGTGCATACTTCACCTTGTAAAACCAGATTCAGGCATTGCTAGATCAATCCTATTCTTTTTACACATATTTATTTGAAGGGCAAAGTTGCAGAGAGAGAGAGGTCTTCCATCTGCTGTTTTATTTCCCAAATGACCACAATGGTGGAGCCAGGCCATAGCCTGGAGACAGCAGTTTCTTCAAGGTCTCCCATATGTGCTCAAGGGTCCAAAGACTTGGTCATCCTGTGCTGCTCTCTCAGGCATGTTAGCAGAGAACTGATGGCAAATGGAGTAGCCAGAAACTGAACTGGCACTCATATTGGATGCCAACGTTGCAGGCCACAGCTTAACCTACTGCCCCACAACACTCTGAAATAGCCACTGTCTCAGATACAGATTGGAACTCTAATCTGGAAATCAAAACAATGTTAAGCACCAACAGGAAAACTCCATATCTGAGCTCATGTGACTTGTCCAACACAGACACACTAAAAGCATTGTACAAAATTACCTTTTAGTTATGTGTATAAGGTGTAGGTGAAATACGAATGAATTTTTTAGACTTGGATCCTAACCCCGAGATATCTGATTATATATTTGAAAATATGCCAAAATCCCAAGAAATTAAAAATCAAGAACATTCCTGGTCCCAAGGACATCAGCTAAGGGATACTCAATTTGTATAGCTTTCACCATGCTGGATAGAAAGGCAAGAACTAAGGGACCTTGCACTGACACCCTTCACTTCTACTTAGAATGTATTCTCCAAAACAGACCACTTGCTCCCATCCAAACATTTTTTTTTTTTTTTTTTGGACAGGCAGAGTGGACAGTGAGAGAGACAGAGAGAAAGGTCTTCCTTTGCCGTTGGTTCACCCTCCAATGGCCGCCACGGCTGGCGCACTGCAGCCGGTGCACTGCACTAATCCAATGGCAGGAGCCAGGTACTTATCCTGGTCTCCCAAGGGGTGCAGGGCCCAAGTACTTGGGCCATCCTCCACTGCACTCCCTGGCCACAGCAGAGAGCTGGCCTGGAAGAGGGGCAACCGGGACAGAATCCGGTGCCCTGACTGGGACTAGAACCCGGTGTTCTGGCGCCGCAAGGCGGAGGATTAACCTAGTGAGTCACAGCGCCGGCGGTCCATCCAAACTTTTCTAATGAAGTCCAGAAAATACAGTCTCCTTTGCAGCTTTCTGCAGAAGAGGTTGTCTCCCACTCACCACACATCATATTAGTGGAAGATAGCCATCCTTGACTTTTTAAAAGCATTGTGGGGAGTGGGTATTTAGCCTAGGGACTGAGACACCCACTGTCCACATTGGAGGGCCTGAGTTCCATTGCTAGCTCCATCTCCTCCTGATGCTTCTCAAAAATGTATCTTACCATGATTTTATCACCAGCACCCTAAGAGGCAATAGTGATGGCTCCAAGAGTTGGGTCCCTGCCAAAACTTAGGGTTACCTGGATTGTGTTCCTGGCTCCTGTGGGCATTTTAGGAGTGAACCAGTGGATGAGAGCTCTGTGCTCTTCTGCCTCTCAAATACATTCAACAACATCCAAAAAAATAATAAAGGCTGGTGCTGTGGCGTACTAGGTTAATTCTCCACCTGCGGTGCCGGCATCCCATATGGGCGCCAGCATATGGGCACTGGTTCTAGTCCTGGCTGCTCCTCTTCCAATCCAGCTCTCTGCCATGGCCTGGGAAAGCAGTAGAAGATGGCCTAAGTCCTTGGGCCCCTGCACCCACGTGGGAAACAGGGAAGAAGCTCCTGACTCCTGGCTTCAGATCGGACTGGCTCAGGTCTGGCCATTGCGGTCATTTGGGGGAGTGAACCAGCAAACGGAAGACCTTTTTCTGTCTGTAACTGTAATCTCAAATAAATAAATAATCTTTAAAAAAATAATAAGCCATCCTCATCAATTCTCATATACAAAGAGCTTCTCTGAGGCTCTGCCTCTGCCTACAACACTTCTCTCCCTTGCTAACATCTACTGACTCCCCACTCACTTCTTACTCTTCTATCGCATCTTTGTGTGTTGCTCTCTATCATTCTGAGTTCTATGAGGAATCATATGTATGCTATGCCTGACATCTTGACCTTATAATTATTTGAACTCCTCGGCTTAATGCTGAATTTTTTTTTCATTCTGGTGACTGGTTCCCATGTATATTCCTTGTCCACACCCAGTATTGTTCAGCAGGTCCTTGTGGGCAAGTTCTATGTGCCAGGTGCTATGTGCTGGTGGTAAAATGATGGCAAAGGCACAGTGCCCTTAGCTAAGAGAGATAGCTATGCAAATGGATTGCTGCAATCTGGTATGAGAAGTGCTAGTTCACAGGGCACATCAGAGACCAGAAACACAGGAGGAACACCCAGCAGCGCGCTGGCCGTGGCGGCCATTTTGGGGGTGAACCAATGGAAGGAAGACCTTTCTCTCCGGCTCTCTCTCTCACTGTCTAACTCTGCCTGTCAAGAAAAAAAAATTAAAATCTTTAAAAAAAAAAAAAACACTGTGGTGTAGCAGGTAAAGCCACGGCCTGCAGTACTGGCATCCCATATGGGCTCCAATTTGAATCCTGGCTGCTCCACTTCTGATCCAGCTCTCTGCTGTGGCCTGGGAAAGCAGTAGAAGATGGCTCAAGTGCTTGGACCCCTGCACCCGTGTGGGAGACATGGAAGCAGCTCCTGACTCCTGGCTTCAGATCAGCACAGCTCTGGCCATTGTGGCCATCTGAGGAGTAAACCAGCAGATGGAAGATTACTTCTGAAAGCTCTCCCACATTCATTGCATTTGTATGGCTGTCCTCCAGAATGGGTCCTCAGGTGCCCAGTGAGATGTGGATCACTGCTAAATGCTTTCTCACAATTGCTGTATTTAGTGGGCCTCTCTCCAGTGTGAACTCATTCATATCTGGCAAATTTGATGTCTAGTCAGATGCTTTTCCACATTCATGACATATGTAAGGTTTCTCTTCAGTATCAATTTCTGGATGTTGGGTAAGATGTGTGTGTTTACGGAAGGCTTTTCCACAGACAGTGCACTCATTCCATATGAATTCTCTGACAGATTAAGTTGGGGGAACAACAGAGGGCTTTCCCATATTCATTACATTTTTGTCTTTCTTCTTCTTCTTCTTCTTCTTCTTCTTCTTCTTCTTCTTCTTCTTCTTCTTCTTCTTCTTCTTCTTTTTTAAGATTTATTTATTTACTTGAAAGAGTTACACTGAGAAAGAAAGGAGAGGCAGAGACAGAGAGGTCTTCCATCCACTAATTCACTCCCCAAATGACAGCCATGACTGGAGCTCCCCTGATCCAAAGCCAGGAGCCAGGAGCTTCTTCCCGGTCTCCCACACAAGTGCAGGGGCTCAAGGACTTGGGCCATCCTCTACTGCTTTCCCAGACCATAACAGAGAGCTGCATTGGACGTGGAGCAGCCGGGGACTTGAACCGGCACCCATATGGGATGCTGATGCCATAGGCAGAGGCTTAGCTTTCTATGTCACAGTGCCAGCCCCTACTATCTACTCTTG